TTTTTAACTATGATGTCATTGTATTGTACGGTTTTTGATCTAAACCAGGATCGTCATGATGGCCGCATTTATACATTCGACAGTAATTTCTACTTTGAGTATCAGCCTTCTAACTTGAGCCACATCCGTGAGTTTGATTTGAACGTTATTCTTTTGTCCTCAGGCGAACGTCCAAATGTCGAGGGGATAACTGGGTTGCCAAATGACCAACCTTTTGGCGTTCTAATCAATACGGACCACACTTCCGGTAAAACCAGTGCCTTTCAGCATCGTCCAACTTCATCCGCAAACTCTCAACCGCTTGACCCGTCTGCATATCACAATTCCCAGCATCACCACCCGTTAGCTTCTCCCGATCCGCGACTAGGTTGGACCACCTCTAGTGGGCCAACTGGAAGCTCAAACACCTTGAGTGGTGCTCCAGAATTCGGATCCTATGTGTCACAACAGACCCCTGCACCGACTGCATCATTCCCTGCTGGACCCTATCCAACCGCTCCGCCGACTCAACACGCATCCTATCCAACAACAACGCTGTATAATGCTACTCATTCCTCACGTCCTTCATCCGTGCTTAATGCACCACACCCTTCAGGTCCTTTCCCTCCAGCCCCTCCAATGGCCCCAGCGCCTCCGATGGTTTTGCCTCCTTCAGTAGATCCGGCAAACCCACCACTTTTACAGGGAACAACGTCCTCAACGCCCTTGTTGACACCATCTATGCCACCAGCAAATACACCGTCACAGATGAGTACACCGGCGGCCGCTGTTCATGAAACACCAAGGAGACCGTACCCACGACATCCATCTCCTATCCAGCAATATCCCCGCATCAACGATCAGATGCGTACGATGCCTGTTCCCCCACCACCTACTTCGTTTGCAACTAACCAACCGGTGCCTGCAAACGCATCAATACGGACGGTCACTTCTGGTTTGACTCAGCCCCCGGGCTATAATCCAGCCAGTTCGTTGCATCAAACCCAGCCGCCACATGTTCGTTCCAATACAGGTTCATATCCACCCTACCAGCAAAGACAACTTGGTCCCGATCCGGCGACTGGAGCCATCTACCGCTCGCCCGGTACACCGGCGACTATGTCTGAATGGAGTCGGCTAAAAGCCCCGATCGCATTGCTTCAGGATCGGGAATTACTTCCATCGGATGGACCAGACCTACCGGTTACACCAGCGATAACTAATCCGGTAAGTGCACTATCAAATGATCCTGCGAACATGAATCGGAAATTGTTTTGTCATACGTGATGACATAGATAAAACCAAAAGTGGCTTGGTATTCAACGCATCAAGTTCCAGAATGTTGATCAACCTCATCTATTAGCGAAACGTTCTCACGACCAGGACTATAGCTGACAGAAAACCTGTAACATAGTTCTATCCTCCACCTCCAAATTCTATTATGTTTTTCAAATTTTACCCTTATGTGTAGAATGGAATAAAGCAACGATTAACCATCTCTGCTTGGTCTAGAGTGAATGTTCGACCAGGTGTTTACACTTCTTCAAATTATGCTGTGTTGGTGAACAATGGGATCAAATTAGATGTCCGATGCATTCTGCAGCGGAAGTCTCTAGTGTCCGAGTTAGGGTCTGTAGCTAACTAACTAGCTCGTTTGTGACCAACAGTGGTGTCCGTCAAGGGGACCCTGTTTCATTATTCCTGTTCAGTCTCGTTTAAAGGAAGCCTATATTTTCTCATGTTACGAAAACCATACGTAGTAATACTAATGTAGACGAAGCTACCTGCTAGTTTTCCTCCGCTCAAAACAAGGAATACCGTTTGTCCATGCAAACAATATTCGACGAGCTCGGTGTAGATTACCGCAATCTTCAAAAGCAGTGTCAGGTTGCTCTTTTTCACCTGTAGCGATTTGGTGGTATGCACTTCTAAGGCACCAAATACATATATGTCGTGATATTAGGTAGCGGATAGACGTCCAAGAGAGCAATTACTTGTTTGATTGCACTGAACTTGTTCCTAAAAGCGTTATTTCTCGAAGTTTTATGGGGAAAATTTGATAACTATCCGAGGTAAACATTCCACTATTATTTGCACTGTTTGGTGTGATCCCCTTTTGGGAACAAAAACGGTCGACGATTTGTCTCAATGATTGGGTGCGCTCCTCTGATCAGATTATTAGAACTGCAATAGCACCTATTTCTTGAAGATAATGGGGAGTAAGGAGTAGGTGGCGGATGGGTGGATAGGCAACGAAAGCCCGTCAGGTACGGCTGCCTTTCTTCAGCAAGTCAATCCAAGTTCCCGCTTCTTTTAGGTTTTACCTGGCATTGCCCATGGAGCTTCAGCTGCAATGACCGGAGTAACTGCGCTTTTGCCATCTTCTGTTTCTGAAACGTATGGGGCAAACTTGTTTGTCATCTATCCATCGCGATAAAAGGCTTGGTGAATGTAACTTGACTTTAGCTCACAATTTTAGTTCAATACTGGTGACAGTCTCACGCGTTTAACGATTCGAGCAGCATGCATTGGACTTGAACGCATCTTGCTTGGATGTGGCGGCCCATCGAAATTGAAGAATCATGTGGTCTATTCTAGTCATACTAACTTCGCTCATTCACATCGAGGGAACGAAATTTTTCATAACATCTATATCCAAGATCAACCATCACCACGTGTGTTGTTCATTGTTACGTTTCGTATGTTTTCGGGGCTAGCGTTTTTATTCAACATGCTTTCCTTGGCTGATTAATTGTGAGATGTGGCAAACCTTAATTACCTCAAGGTTTCCGATTCGTACTTTTATGAGCCACGGCAAGTTGTGTTCCACCGACGGTGTTGCTCTGTTACTTGTTTGTGCAAAAAGTTCATTCGATTGGCTTAGGACTTGCACTCGGTTCTGTCATCTGACACGTGACGCGTGAAATTGTTGCTCGCAAACTTCTTGCAAGATGAGATACAGTCTTTAAAGCGTTCGTTTCCCTTTCGTGTTTAGCTATTCGACTCCAATTCGCGCACATGATGATTGCCAAGCAAGTAAAAGAATGTGAAATTCAGCACAAATGGAATGGGATCACGAATAATAACTTCTCGATGTGGAGACTAGCAATCAGACTGGACGAAATATTTCTTGTCATTCGTATCAGGATTTAAATTGCCCGCTATACGCTTAGTAAGGTGCGGAAAACGACAGGAGTGGTGAGCTTACTTCCCAGCCAATCACATGTACAAACGTACTAGGATGATTGCAAAAGAAACATCGAAATTTACATTGGCTCCTGAGAGCTTCAACAACACGATTAAATCCTTGGATTATAAGCACCGCTCGATCAGAAATCTATCCGCGGAGTATCACATTCCATTCAGGTGGCGTTTGTAGTGTTCAAATTTTCACGTTTTGTCAACTCGTTCTCGCGTCATACGTGCCCCCCTCCCCAACCAAAAGTCAGTGTTCTTTGACCTAAACGCTATCTTCGACTCAGTTGGTCATGAGGCTGCTTGGTTTCTTTTTTCGCATCAGAATGCCCATAAATTTGGTAACTCATTGAGATCAGTCCTCATTTCGGGTAGAGTAAGTCTCCGCCAAGGCGCTTGATTGGAAACCAGAAGCTGTTTGTTAAGGGTACCCTGTTTCATCGCTCTGGTTCAATCTCGTAGGCTGAATATTAGAGAACGCTCTAAGTGTTCTCTAAATTGTGGCTGTTAAATGGACAACTGAAATAAAGTTGTGCGATTTTGATTACGTTGTCATTTCTTACCAGGCCAGTTTACCTGTGTACAGGTAGTCTACCTGCATTCTCTATCGTCATGTTGACACTGTTTCCAGGATTCGAATCTTCCCGCTACTCGTTCATTCAAATGAGTTACCGAAAGGCAGAAACGTAAGCCTCCAAGAAAGTGCATGGTCTATGGTTGTGTAAACTGAAACAAACTGAACTGATCTGAGTACACAATCAGACTGAGTATTCTCTACATTGCTCATGCCTTCGTCGCAATGTGCTGTCCCCATCCAACTTACACATTCCTATATATTTATTTTGTGTGTATTAGGATCTGGGTAGCGATAAGGGAAGTTCAGTTCACTGTAGTTCGCTGTAATATGTTGATGAGTTCAGTGAGTAACAAGTGATTATTTAAAGTCACTTTATTGAATATCATGGGTGTACAAGCATTGACATCAAATACGGCAATTCCATTTTTGTACTTTTGTTGGCTCGTTTATCTGTGTCTGGCCTCATCACCGAGATTTGTTTCCTTTCATGCTCTCGCTTTCGATCTGAAATGAGTAGAGTACTGTCTCATGAACTCCAGCGATTGAACAGTGTGCAAAGGGAAACAACCGAAAAAACGTGGTGATCGTCCGAGAATACGAAACATGTAGCATAAAAATCCATATCACGGCATGTAATAGTGATTGCTCTTTATCTTTCGATGAGGTTGATGTTAAATGACCAAGGCGGGCTTATTTTTCAGTTTATTTACATTTTCCGACTATTCAATACGTTGTCTATCACTTCACAGGTCAACTGCGATCCGGACATCATGCGATGTACTTTAACAAATATGCCATCCAATGCCAAATTACTAGCTCGGTGTCGTTTGCCCTTGGGCTTAGTGATGCATCCCTTCCGCGATCTTTCGAATTTGCATACGATCAATTCGAAAGTGATTGTCCGTTGTCGTTCCTGCCGCACTTACATCAATCCGTTTGTGCAATTTCTGGATTCTGGACGCCGCTGGCGTTGTCCGGTGTGTTTCCTTGCCAATTCCGTCCCGGACGATTTTTACTACGATCCAGGTACGCAAACCTATGGAGACCCGTCTCGTCGTCCGGAGATTCGATCAGCAACAGTCGAATTCATTGCACCTTCAGAGTACATGCTCCGTCCACCGCAGCCCGCCACCTACCTATTTTGCTTTGACGTCAGTCGAAACGCCATAGCTACAGGTTATTTGCAATTCGCGTGTGAACGTCTGGCTGCATCGTTGAATCGAATCCCGGGAGATTCGCGTAGACAGATAGCGTTTATCACATACGATTCTGCGATACATTTCTACAAGCTATGCGGTACGTCCGATGCTGACAGTGTGCCACTTTCTACTATGCTTTTGTTGGCTAATTTTGTAATTTGACGGTAAACTTGAAATTGTTTTTCTTTTGATGTAATAATGATAATAATAATAATATAAGAGCACTCTTGTTTAGGAGTGAATCATCTTATCTTTAAGCTGAATGATGCGGCTTATTTGGAAAAACAAGCATTTGTCATGGAAACTGTTACGTCCGACCAAATCAGGTTTTCCCTGTCTATTTCCAAACTCTCCAATAACTGACCTATAAAATCAGGAGCCAACGAGAAAAGCGCAAAGGTTGTATTCAAGGGCGTCGGTTTTCAAAATGGGCGTACAATTGCGTTGCAGTTTATATATATATTACAACAAGTAATATGTGAATGACTGGACAAATTTCCATGGAAGCACACGACGGGTTTCGCAGTTCTTGCCGCTCATCAGGCGTGCGTATCCGGCAATCTTTTGTCACCTCATTCATATGCTTGTACACAGGAAATGTATTTTCGTCGCAATAACCTGATTTGCAACGAAAAAAATCATCTATTTTACGGAAACCAAAAGGTTTGTATCTCTCCGAACCTTGATTTTCCGACCCATATCCCCTCATAACCGTGCCTCAGGTGTTACCGATTTTGTGATCATTTCTCCTTTCCATTCCAATTAGTGTTCTTAAATAACTGTACATGTGTGCTGTCCCAAGTATCGTTATTTCGGAAGTAATGTGTCCCTTACTCTTTGTACCATGGTCTTATTTTTTTGGGGGGCATAACAGGTGATACAATGCGTTTAATGATCTGTCCGGACCTGGATGAACCGTTCCTTCCGGATTACGAGGGTTTGATGAACCGGATTAGTGGTTCCACCGAAGCGATTCAGGATTTTCTGCATCAACTCCCACAATCATTCGCCAATACCAATGATGTTGGTAACTGTTTGGGCACTGTGTTACAAGTAAATTTCTTCATATTCATACTGTTTACAACACCTTTGTGTTATTAGCATGACTAAGGTGTTTCTATTGTACATTGACCCCTACTTACAAAATTGTTTTTTTTACTACATAACACCGTGTGATTAATAGTCTATGGACAGACTCCATAGTCACGGGTACCTACTATTCGTATATGGAGATGGACTACTTGGACGGCATGATCTATCACACAAGGTTCCATTAGAATGGACCAACTAAACGGCCTCTCAGCGGATCAGACGCTTTTATATCAGATCTGTTTTCTTGTCACAATGCGAATTATGTCAATCCAACTTGTAAGTGAAGTAGAAACCGAATGCACAAACCACTTGACCAAATTCGACCAATAACGTGAAATTAGTTCACCGGAGATCACCGATTTCAGCTTTGTGCGGACCATAGATAGTTCCTATCAAGCTCAAAAGTGTTTCCTCAAGAATAGACACTGATTTTCGTGCAAACCCACAATTCGAGTTGATTAATAGTGCAGGACGTTCAACATACTCATGAGAAGTGGAAAAATCGGCAATCGTTCAGGTCATACACCACCGAACACCGTTCCGTGTGGCTAACAGCAAGGGACTTGGTCTTGATTAATTGAAGGGGGTAATGATCGCGCGCGTCACATTGCTGCCATCAGACTTGTGGGGTTAACGGGGGGTATCACCGTGCACTCAATAACCCACATCTTCGGAAGTCCCTACTGATCGTCCGCTGTCACTCAGCGATGAGATGAAACTGTTATTCATGGTTGATCATCGGCGTAGCCGACCTGGAGACGCGCCCGATAGCACAAACTGTGCTCCTTGTTTCAGGGATTCGAGATCACAGCGATTTTGACTAGTTGATACGCTCATATTTTCTTGTGCATCCACACATGTTTTGTATTCGCTGGAAAATTTTCCCCAATTCGAACTGTTATTTCTAATTTGCATTCGTGCTTATCTTGTCCTAGTTTATTGAAGAGAAGGGACCATTTAATCTGTGACGTGAAACTAGATCAGTTGTATGTTCTGAGTTTCGTTTGACTGCACACATTGAAAATACTTCATTTTGTCCCTAGGTCGGTCTTAAATTGATTGGAGGCACTGGTGGTCGTATCTCGCTGTTTACCACTTGCATGCCAACAACCGGTGCTGGTGTGCTTCGGTCCCGAGAGGATCCGAATGATCGTTCTGCTGCGGAAGCAAAATATCTTGGCCCGGCAATCGACTTTTATAAAACATTTGCTCTCGATTGTGCCGCCCAACAGGTACGTACCGTTGTTCTTTTTTCGGGAGTACATTTACTTGTCGAAAATATTTAACATCCTACTACTAACACCAACAACACAACAATGATTATTATATAATATAAGATTCTTCTATTTGGGACTCAGGTTCGAAATGTTTTCAACCAAATCATAATTTCATGATCGAGGTTAGTTGTTCATAGTAAGCCTGTAAAATGGATTGTGCAATTGTGCTTGGAGAAAGTGGAACAGCATGATTAGCTTCTTTTTCAAGTAGGTGGTATGCTTGCTACTTCATTACCCCAGACGCATCGTTGTTTACACTCCAATGCTCTTGAACAAGGCTGTAGAAGCTTCATGACTACTCCACTTCCTAGAACCCGTATTCCTTGCCTGGTATATGAAACATATCATTCTGCAATTAGCTAAGAGCGACCCGCGGTTATACGGAAAATTACTCCGCTATCACGGGAGGATCCAATGTACGCATACATTCAGTGCTTCCTAATTCAGCTGCAATTATCGTCATCATTGGCCTGATTTTCTGGCAATATTTTACTCTTACTGGAACAGGATCTCCTTCAGTTCCAGGGTTGCTACAAGAACTGACGATGCTGTGAAGTTANTGCGGTTAGATTCCAATGCGTGATCTCTGGAACGATCTTTTGGTAACCAACGCCGCTTGAGATAGTTGACATCTTAAAGGTGTCAATTGTTCATCACTTCCTTGGTGGTTTTCACATTGAGATGAAAAGTGACCAAATAAATCCCAACGATATTATTATAGTATTTCACACATGTCTGAGTCCAGACTGTCAAACAAATCGCGGTTCAATATTCTTGATAAGAAGAGAAACGTTCCATGTTTTTCTTGTGGACAGAATACTGCCGCAACCAGGAAGGTGTGTCTATGTGTGTGTGCGTGTGCGTGTGATTGGAATGCCTCTTCTGTGTTGGTTTGAAATCAGGGTTTTTAGCAAACTCCTCTAGGTGAACTGACAATGGTTCACCGGCCGGGTTATATCCCCGGATAGGGTTTTCGTCCTCTCACTTTAGTGCGAAAACGCCTCTGCCAAGTTAAGGCAGTGTGTAGCGCTTTCTCAGTAGAGGCCATTTGAGACACTTGGTCGTATGGGAGCATTTCCCGAGGTGCAAGGGAACGGTGACCCGCCGCAAACCAAGACCCCCGCCCTTGACCATACTGAGGCCTTCGGGGGGCCTCAACGACATTGTTTTACCTTAGAATCTGTCTTAATGTAAAACAGAAGGATGTATGAAGCTGCACATGTTCCATGTCCGAATCGCGCGCCAGACGGACTACGTCAAGTGAAGAATGGCATGGTTATATGCATAGTTGGTATACTTTACAAGTTGAGTTTTCTCGGCTTTTACCATTAATTGAGCATCACTCTCGGATCCATCTTTTTGAACTGGTTTTGTTTTGGAAACGAGCCGAAAAACAGCGTTCCTGATGGATGCCATCGGTTGCAATATCTTTTTACAGCTAAACAAATTTCATCACCATTCACCGCGATTTTCCCGCTAGTCTGTTGATGCAGTGACTTTCTCTGTCGGTTTTTATGCTCAACTATTTAGGCAGTTTTGCCCCAGGAGCATTACACCTGTCAATTATCAACATGTTACCACATTGCTATTGATGAAATTTCCTTAAAAACATGTACTTTTATCAGTATGCGTGGTTTGCACACACTGGTGCTACTTTTTCCGCCGATGTGCCGATGATACGCCGGTTGTGTTGCACAGTATCACTTACGAAGCACGCACAACACAATACCTTAAGACACAGTATCGACGTAGAACATCCAATACAGGACAACACAGCATTAGTGACACTTACAGCAATGCCAGA